GCGGGGCACCCGGAAAAGGTGAGACCATGGTAGCGGGTTGTGGTCCCGTGGCCGTAGTGACCGGAATCTGGGCGGGTGCGCCCGTAGACTAAGGGAGGGCCTGGCTTGTGGCGGTCGTCGTGCTAGGGGCGTGGACAGTCACCAAGATGGTCGGGTCGGGGGCGGCAGAAGAGGAAGCTCCATCGTGGCTACTCTGTCGGAGAACTGAAGACCCGGACTGAGAGCCAGGAAAAGAGTGAGAGTCAGGGGATGAAGGGCAGGCAGCATCTTGGAGTTGCTGCATGCCGGCGGCAAGGGTCGCCACCTGCGCCTGTAAGGGCGCGAGGATCGCGAGTTGTGCCTGAATGGGCGCGAGGAGGGAGGTGAGGAGGGTGTGCAGATCCCCCTGGGGCTGATGGCCCTGGTCCGCCGGAACGGGTGTGGAGCCCGGTGCCGCAATCGTCGCTGCGTCGGCGGCGTGTGACACATCGTCGGCTATGGGAAGGTGACGGGCCGAACTGGAGGGGGCGAGAGGAGGTCTGCGTGAGCGGAGGGCGTAGGAGGGGGTCCGCGGTAGAAAGCGGCGGACGGCGCTAGCAAGGCTTGCACGGGCGCCGTCAAAGGGGGAGGGGGTGGTTCGGGTCCAGGGTGCCCGAATAGGAAGGGGAACTAGGGGGGGTTTGAACAATCCTAAACCCTAGAAAAACCCTAAGAAAACCCTAATCGAAGTTTGACTGGTTAGGGTAGGGTAACGTTGACCTAATCAAGAAAATAAAGTAGCAAGCATAGAGGGGAAGGCGGAAGAAAAATAAATAAGCAGCAAGATTTCAAGGAAAAAAAAAATAATAATAATAATAAAAATAATTAAGGGAATAATTAAACAAAATATAAAAAGAACAAATAAGGTTTATTTTTTAAAAATTTTTGGCAGCATTTCCCTAATCCCCATGGGGTTAAGAATGTGCCAAGGGGAAAGGAGAGTGAGGTGGTAGGATCGTGACCGGGCAAGACCCGTTAACCACGAACCGATTGAACACGTTCACGAATGAACGCGCAACAATTACTCAAAAAACCCCATCAGAACGTCGTTCCCTTATTCGCTCACACATTTCACCCCGGTGAGAGAGAGAGAGAGAGAGAGAGAGAGAGAGAGAGAGGGAGAGAGAGAGAGAGAGAAAGAGAGAGAGAGAGAGATAGATAGATAGATAGATAGATAGAGAGAGAGAGAGAGAGA